ATTATTATGTGTGCCGTCAAATCAAATCTGACTGGTACAGGAGGAGATTTGCCCTTCCTTCTCCAGCAGAGCATCTGGTGGATTTGAACTGCACACCTCTGGGATTGAAGTACAGTTTTTTGCCACTAGGCTATCAGAGTTCCCTACATTCTAGGATTTTTATTTATAATGATGATGATGATGATATGTGTTTATTATTATTGTTGTTGTTATTATTATTATTTTATGTGTGCCGTCAAATCAGAACTGACTGGTACAGGAGGAGACTGTCCCTCCTTCTCCAGCAGAGTATCTGGTGGATTTGAACCGCGCACCTCTGGGATTGCAGTGTGGCTTCCTGCCACTAGGCCACCAGAGCGCCATTCTAGTTTTTTTAAAAAAATTTGCTATTTTTTGTGTGTGTGTGCACCGTCAAATCAGATCTGACTGGTACAGGAGGAGATTGTCCCTCCTTCTCCAGCAGAGTGTCTGGTGGATTTGAACCGTGTGCCTCTGGGATTGCAGTGCAGACAGTCTAGATATTTGTTATAAATGGAATCCTGTCCTACACTGTCTGGCCTCTTGTGTCTGACTTCTTTTTCAGTTGCAAGGTTCAGTCAGGTGTTAGATGCATCGTCTTTGGGGAGGGTGGCTTAATACTCCATTGTATGTACCCATTGTGTGTGGCCCTGCTCTCAACTGCCATTGGTTGTTTCACCCTGAGGCTACTGTGGAGAGGGCTGCAGAAAACACATGGAGGAACACATAGCTTCATTCCTGCTGCCCCCTTCCCTTGAGGGATATACCAAGGGTGGGATTACTAAATCATTTGGTACTTTTGCTGCTGTTATTGTTTTTACATGCTGCTGAGTCAACTAGAACTCATAGCACCCTTATAAAACCACAGATCATGCACTGTAATCCCAGAGGTACATGGCTTGAATCCACCGCATGCTCTGCTGGAGAAGGAGGGACAATCTCCTCCTGTATCAGTCAGATCTGATTTGACGGTACACACAAAAAATAATAAAGTTTTACTGCAATCCCAAAGGTACACGGTTCGAATCCACCAGATGCTCTGCCGGAGAAGGAAGGGACCATTTCCTCCTGTACCAGTCAGATCTGATTTGACGGCACATGCACAAAAAATAACAAAATTGTTTTTAAAAAGGAAAAAAATAATAAATTTTTAAAAATTAAAAAACCCACAGATCGCCTTTTCCAGAGACGCTGTGTAGAGGCATTCAAAATAGCACAGCGCCTGACACACAGTTATAAGCTGTCCTCCAACACAGCCTCTAACAAAATTAGGCTGTCCTGAACCCCTGGTAACAGAATTATTTACCTTTATACTAAGAAGGTAGGAAAAGCACTAAAATCTGCTTGTGGTGTGTGCCTGGGCTGACTAAGAGGGGTTTGAGCTGTGAGACCTAAAGTTCTCATGAGGTTGTCAAAAACAAAAAATCAAAAGTGTCAGCAGAGCTTAAGGTCTTTCCGTGTGTGCCAAGTGTGTCCGTGACAGGATCAAGCATGCTTTCCTTACTGGCGAGAAGAAAATTGTTGTGAAAATACTGAAGGCACAAGCACAAAGTCAGAAAGCTAAATAAAAAATGGTGCATCTTTAATAAAAGAAAAATATTTTTTAAAAAAAACACCCACAGATCAAAACCTTGCTCCCTCCTGTGCCATGCTCACTATCTCTGTCATCCTGAAGCCAACTGTTAAAAACACCAGTTCCAGGCGGCGTGCTGGGGTCCAGGAACGGCTGTTTGTTGTTTTGGGTTTCCCGGCTTCTCTGGGGCTTCCCTAATTCACGTCTTCCCTGTGAGTTGCTGCCTGGTAAAGAAGAAGCCATGGCACTGCGAGTCACCAGG